GACTGTTCCAGATAATCTTGAAGAATTAATCACATGTTTGTGTATATATTGTGTGATTTCTTTGAGGAAAAGTGAAATAGGAGTCTATATGTCTAATAAAGATCTTAATTCAGATATTAGCTTGATTTTTGTCTAGGTTTGATTTATGAAACATCAAAAAAGAATTTAAAAATTTTTAGATTGTTTATAGTCAAAGAAGAATGAAGATTTGAAATAGTGCCCAGACAATTTAGGGTAAAGCAAATGTTTGTCCAAAATACATGGCTAAGGGCCAAAATGTTTCTAGAACCATTTTTTATAAAGCATTGGGTTCCCTGTATACTCGATGATAAAATATGTGAGTTCCGCAAAGGAATTGTACCTAAAAGAAAACAAAAGTTGATTGTATTTCCATAATTTAATTACTACTATTTGGGTTCAATTTCTGTGGTTTATTTTGTTATAAAATATTTATGCTTCATATGGATACCTATTCATATTGTTATTCCATCCCCACTGTTCTTTAGAGATGGCATTTATGGTTGTACATGTAATACCCATTGTTTGAAAGGCTTGTAAAGTGTTTTCACCACTGGTGGTGGTGGGCTTTGACGTTGATAGTAAGTATAGGTTTTTGCTGATAGAAATAAATCTATGATGTTGCTGTTTCATTACCTGATGAATAGGCTACATTTCTGCAAGTGGAATTACCAGGTTACCAGGTGTATGACAAGATATGAGCCCCAGTAGGAATTTTTATTGCATCGTATCAAATTTCACCCCAGAAAAATGGTACCAAAAGGGTTCTTTAACACTTTGCTTACCACATTTAGTACTTTAAGAATTTGTTACATCATCTAGTGTGGAGAATGTTAAAGCTCCCTCCCTAATTTAATCACTGGTTTGAAAGCCATAGTTCAAATTAAGAATGATTCCTAAATGCCATTTTTAGACTTGAGTAAGATTTTAAATATCATGTGCATGTTATAATAATAATTGAAGAAACAAATGTGTGTTTGCAGCTTTCTTCTGAGACTAAGATTATGTTTCTGTAATTCACTTTGTGTGATACTATGGAGAATAGGTCAGAAAATAAAGGCAGGAGGCTGTGTGCTCAGTTGTTTGTTTTTTAGCTGGTTTACAAATTCTTTCCTGAAAGGTCTTTTTGTTGTTGTGTTGTTTTTTAAGTAATTATAATGAAGGGAAACAAAAAGCAGATTGAGAATGAGTATATATCTTAGATCTGGGGAGATAGCATAGAAAAATGGTTCTTATTGACTCATGGCTTAATTTTTAAAATATGTAGGCCAGTGTTACTTTATAAATTACCAGTATTGATTTGAGTGCTTTGCCAGTCAGTTTAGTGCATGTAAGAAACTTCGTTAATTTCTGAAGTCACATGTGTACTCTGCCCTAGGAGCTCAAGTTTGGTAGAAGCATGTGTGTGTTACATTTAGCTTACTCCTTTAATTAAAACCATGCTTCGTTCCCAGTTTTTATAGAATTGTGGGAAAATTCTGGAGTTGGTATTCTACCAGAAATGACCAAGGTTTGCATGGGGGCAAGGTGCCCAGCCATTCAGGGTTTAGAATGAAGCTCTAACAGCCCGCAGTTACAGGACCTGCTCAGTCTGAAGGGCGTCTTAGGGATAATCAGTGGTGCGGTGAGGTGCTCAGCCATAGAGGAATTTGACTTGCTGGCCTTTGGCACTAAGTTAGTTAGTGCCTCAATCTGGGTAGGTGGGCCAGGGGGTTATTTTGTTAAGCCTCGGCATGTTGTAGAAGAAAATACAAAATTATAGGAAGTTTTAGAATAAACCTTGAACGTAAAGGCCATGTGTTTACCATCTGTGGCCCTGAATCCAGTCAAGCCATGGAGTTGCTAAATTCACCCACTCCTGGTCTTTTAAGGTTTTGCTTCAGTGAAAGATGAAGAATCCTGATACATAGAACATAGCCTTACCTCTCACCCGGCCTCCAGAGTTTGAATGTGCAGAGAGGTTAAGGATTCTGCCTGGGTTACAGAGGAACACTCTGCATAATAGGAGCTGCAACACCAGTCCTTTACTCTTTGTCTGGTGCTCCTGCTTGGCAACTATATTTCACAATTTAAGTGCTATACCGTGTATACACTCAAATTGTGTATTGCTTAGGTGAGTCTTAAGGAGCACTCACTGGGTTAGAAAATACTACAGCATCTACTCACTGCTTATCTAAAAAAATGATCTATGAAAGATCCACCCTGTCATCATTTCAATAAATCTGGGCCTTTAGAAGCCAGCTATAGGGTGGGGGGGGGGCTGGTTGACCTCTTCCACACATAGGAGCCTAACTTGGTTCCAAGGGCCAGCAAGTCAAAGAAAGGGGGTTAGATGTTAGTATATAATCTTTAGCCCAGGGGGATAGCATCCACCATAAGAGGAGGTCCCCTCTGGAAGGGATTGTTGGCACCAAGGGCAGCAGTGATGTTTTATCATTATGTTTATGCATAATTATATTCTTCTCTATGAGCTATTTTTATGTCTCTTTTGACAATACCCAGCACAGGTTGAGGTGTAAATGGTACCCAGTGAACCCTTACTAGATTAAATTTGCTCTATAAATTACAGAATAATGTGCATATGTGTTTATGCATTAGAACTGTTGAATTTTCACATTGGAACTCTGTCTAGTGGAGGGGCTCATAAAAAGCTAAGCCTGCCAGTCTTCTTTTGATACAGAACTTAACGTGCAGAAGGATGTGTCCGATGATATTTTCATTTAAAGGCTTGGTGGTATTATCTTACTGATTGAACTTCTGTAACCTGGGTCATTATTCAGAAGTTGAAATGTTATTTCAGAACAGATGTCCTAAGAAAAATCGATCAGTTATACATGACTCTATAGAATTTTGGTCCTGCTTGTGATATGAAGATAGGATTATTTTCATACTGCATATACCTAAATTCATTTGTCTCAGATATCATAGCCAACTGAGGAAAATGTGGTCTGATTTTACATAAATGAGCAAAAATCTTGAAGTTTTAGAAGAAGATCCAGAAATTCCAGTTAGGCATGGCGGTCCATGCCTATAATCCTTGTGCTCTGTAAGGCTGAAGCAGAAAGATTGCAGGTTCAGGCCCAGCCTGGGCAACTGGGAAACCTTAGACTCTTTCTAAAAGCAAAAAAAGATCTGTAGCTCAGTGCAAGCACTTTGGATTCAGTCGCCAGTACCAGAAAGTCATTACTTTTTGAATTCGTGTATCTGGGTAGAAAGGGTCTCTGCTCACATACAACTCATTGACAGTGGTGTGTGCAAGTTGAATCTGAAGGAAGTGACAGTGACAGGTAGTGTGTATATAGTGTGACTGACGGTGATGTTCTGGACATGATGTGGAGAGCTGAGAATACTGATGGAGAAAGGAAGAGCTCTGTGCAAGACTTTGTCCACCGTTAGGATGCAGTTCTTACAAATGGGCTCCCATAGTGTATGAGACTTTCTACTCTTATGTAGAAATTTGGTTAAAATTGCATGTGGATTCAAAGTGTTAAATGTGGTTGTTATTAAAGAATATGAGGAGAGAAAACTAACATGCAGGAAGCCCTTGAGGTCTTTCAAGTTCGTGTGGGTTGCACATTGCCTTAGTCCTCAGGGCAGTCTTCAGATGATGGGCAGCAGGGGACGGGGTGGTTGGGCACTAGGTCTTTTGTTGTTAAGTATCTTAGAAACACATCAGCCCAGGGCTTAGCACTCATGAAATTGCCTTTTTTTTTAAAATTTTATTTATTTATTTTTACTACAGTCTGCCTCTCCGTTCTGCCCTTCTCTCATGCGTGCCTTTCATGCTAGACTGTGAGCTCCTGCAGGCAGAACTGTGCCGTGTTTGTTCTTGCTCCCAGTCTGCCGTAGCCTTTTCTGGGTAGGCTCAGGAGGTTTGGATCTCATTCCTGTATGATCTTGGAAGTGGGCCCACCTGCTATGTGGGTCTGCAGTGAGAACATCATTTCTTCTGCGAGTATGTGTGCGTATGGGTTGCTCTCATTAGGTGGGGCCTGCCCTCACCGGTTACACAGAAATCACCCGCACCACGCGGTAGTCCTGCTTCTGTGATGAGAAACTCAAGCGTTGAAGAGCTGGTGGACAGTGGACACTACCACTTGCATTCGGCACTTGTTGGCACTGCTGTGCTTCTCCCTCCCCTCTTTTTCCCTTTTCATTTTCCACACAGATACATATTTTAAAATTTGGGGGCAAAACCTAAAAATTTAGGGTACATTATACTCTGAACCTAGGATAGTATTTATTACTCCAGTTTCTAATTGCATCTTTTTTGTCATCTTCTAAAAATAAATTGCAGACATTATATTTTGTGTTTGCAGTGTCTTTTAATCCAGATAATTCCTCTAGTTCTCTTCTGTCTTTAAAAAAAATTTTTTTTCCTTGATTTTCCAAACATAACTTGATTTGATTCCCTAACTACACCACTTAAATTATGAGGGGTAAGGAAATTAAAAGTTGTATGTGTAGGATTCGCCTTATATACTTGGTGTAATTCGAGGTAACTCTTGCTACTACATCACTTTTCCTTTCCCCTTCTATTGAAAATCCCTCGGTTTAGTAAGAGTGCCACTCTTTTTGCTAGTATTGAAGACACAGAAGACTAAACGTGCTGTCATTTTTTGATGGTTACTTCACCACATCCGCGGTGGGAATACGATAATGGAGTTAGGAGAACCCTTCCGTATTAAAGGCTGGCTGTTGATGTAATGTGAACAGAACTTGGTATTAAATACCAAATCTGAATACTGTCATTTGAGGTAGAGGCTCACACCTGTAAACTTGAGAGTAAGAAGTAACTTGGTCTGTGGAAGGAGGGTTTGTGCCAGGGAATTGTGGCTGCTTTTGGTAAAATGATTCTGCATTTCCATCTTTCTGAATTAAACATGTGAGCCTATAATGTTCTTCATTATGCCTGTGAGATGTTAAACATAACAGTCACTTTTTGAAGTCATGATTTCTCCTTTTTGATTTTACTCATCTAGAAGGAGCTGGCAAACAACCCTGACTGTCCTCAAATGTGTGCTTATAAACTGGTGACCATCAAATTCAAGTGGTGGGGGCTACAAAATAAAGTAGAAAACTTCATCCAAAAGGTAAGATCTGTTCAAACATCCAAACTTGGGTCAGGATTTGAAATTACACACTAATGGGAAATCTTTTACTAATCTTTTTCTCCTTTATGAGGTGAAAATTATTATTCCTATATAACTTATTTCTGCTTTTTTTTAATCTGTAGAAACAGTAGAGACTGATGCTAGAAGAGGTTTTAAGGGGCTTCCCTTTGGGGTAGCCCATAGCAGTTTTTTATTCAAGATGGTTTCCTGAGAGATTGCCCAGCCCTTCTGTAAAGAGCATTTCCCATGTACAGCATGTTCCCAAGGGCCCTGGCCTGGGCCCGGCTGGATGGAGAGGGCAGTCTTTGCCTCTCTTACCTGTTTCCCACACCCCTCTCTGTGACATCACTTTGTCATTTTCGGTGGCTTCTATAACAGGTTCTCACTGAAGACGAGTGTAGTCAGAATTACAGTGATAAGATCTTAGGGTTCACATTTCTGTCTTTGTTTTTATATGTCTTCTTTATTAAAGTGAAAGTAACAGGCAGTCAGATCCAGGAAGAAAGGAGAATTGCAGTTGTATAAATGGGTGTGGTTATAATAGAGTGCTTTTCCAGTATGCATGAGTCTCCAGATTCGATCCCTAGTACCATAAAACAACAAAAATACATGTGGTTATAAATACACAAGGGGCGTGGAAAGTTGCCTTGACACTTTTTCTGCAATATGAGTATTTATTTCATTATCGTTATAAAGACACTCCCATTCTGTCTGATTCCCACAACTAGTTGGGCCTATATTTCACTATAACTTTTCTACTTTTGTACTGTAGCTACTGTAACATTTGAAAAGAAAAAGACCCCAAAGTGCTGGAAACCTTACTTATTCTTGGTGCTGCTTGCACTTGGCCCATGGTAGCACACTAAATATTGGCTTCATTCCTTTTGAATCATAGTAACAGATTACCAACACAGTCCTGATGAATAGAAGTCACTTGAGTGATTGATAAAGTCTTTTCTGTTCATGGAAAACTTAAAAAGTTGAAGTTTGTCCAGATGTGTTCATTGTTTGTGTGCTTTTTCTCGTGGGAAAATATGAATACAACTTAAATGATTTAGAAATTAAAGCCCCTGTTTGTATTTATGGTTTTATATATTATAGTGACAGTAGCATGTAGCACAGAAACTTAGTGGTATATATATGTGATACTCAGTTGTTACTTTAGTAAGACATCTTTATCCCAAAGAACCCAGAGCTATTTTCTTTGACTCCATTACTATATTCCACCTCATGATACTCCTTCGACATGCAAAAAGGTGAAGAATGACAATGTTAGTTTCATAGCAGAAGAAAATCTAGTTTGCCCTTTGCCCATTGATATTTAGAAAAGATAAAAATAGATTGGGCGCAAACTAGTATGTTAGATAAGATTGTGCACACCATAGTTTTTAGTTTCTACTAGATCATTACACCTTTGTCAAAGGAGATTACTTCCCATTTCATAGAGAAAGTTTTTATTTTGCTGTACAGAATTACAAGATGAAGTTCAGGTTTCCAGTAATCCATACAGAATTGTCTTTTCAAATGAAGCATGTGTAAATTTCATGAGTTGGGATGTATAAAGTTAATATGTCATTGATCTTAGGTTTTTGCCTTCTTATGCTGCTCTTCTTTGTTTTTAAAGCAAGAAAAAAGGATATTTACAAACTTTCATCGCCAGCTCTTTTGTTGGATTGACAAGTGGATTGATCTGACGATGGAAGACATTAGGAGAATGGAAGATGAGACTCAGAAAGAACTAGAAACAGTAAGACTTACCTTCCTGTGGGACTTCTCTCCTTGTCTCTCTTTCTAAAACTACAAGCTTAGGGAGGATAGCCTCACAGTTAGGTATGCTCTCAGAAGCTATTTCTTCATCAAAATAGTTTCTTAGACATTAGTAATGTCTTGATGGGTACTGATACCCCTTTTGTTGAGAATTTATCACCTGTAAAATGTTCATTGGCTTTGTATCCCTTCTTACACGTAAGTTCCCTGAGATGGTACCTGGTTCACAGTCCTTTTAGACTCACTTTATCAGACCAAGATGTAAGGCTCCCTCCTCTGTGGATAGAGTAAGGCTAATATTGTCACTAATCCTAGAAATGCCTTCTCCTTTCCTCTGCTATCTATGAATTCTTTTTTCTTTGCAACTTTTAGGCAGGTTTGAGTGATGCCCTAGCAGAAGGCCAGCATGCTCGAACTCCTCCCTGCTGCCAGTGAGCAGGCTCTGCAACCAGTGGGTGTCTCACCTCTCTCAGGGATGGATTCTTCCTTGGCTGGCTCTTGCATGTGTCTGGTTTTGTTTTTGCCCTGGGCCATGCTTTTCTGTAGTTGGCAGTGAGTGAGGAACCCAAAGAATGTCCAGGACTCGTGAGTGGTTTCTATGCAGTCACCTCTTGTCCTGCCAGCAGGCCCAGCTCTGGAAGCCCTGCAGGTGTGTCTGACAGATGCCCCCATGAGAGGCAGATACTCCATTTAAGCACTGGAGAGCGGCAGTGAATCACATTCTGTGGCACAGAAGGAAATGTATTTCTCTAGCACAGTGCATTGTAAAGACTCAATGTCTAAATTAGCTTACTTTTGGTGATTGCAGCAGGTCTGCTTCTAATTAGCTTTATACAAACCTTCTGAGAAGACTAGGGCATATTTTCGTTATAAGGCAATAAAATGTTTTAACCTTATCTTATACATAAAGTAAACTATAGGCAGACTTCAATTTATGAATGGATTGTGCCCCAGATTTTTTTTCAGTTGATTGTTTGGAATTTGGAACATACTTTCCCATAGGAACAACATTGTAATTGGGGTTTACTTTCTGAACCGGCCAGTAGAAAACCTCCTTGGCCTCAGTTTCTTATACTAATGGTAGAACTCCAAGTTCTGGATCTTTGGAGCAGGATGATAAAATTGCAAGAGTGGAAGATCTCCCTTTGCTCCCTTATTTTTAGGCTGGCATGGATATTTGGACAGGATCTTAAGTGCAGCCTACCTTTCTTTCCATGCCGCTCACCTACTTCAGTTCCCTTTCTCAGCCGTCACTAAGAATTCACCCCTATCACCAGACCACCCAGGTGAATCCCTTTTCTCCTGCCCTACCTGGTTTGCTCCCTGCAAGCAGCTGACGTTCACTGCTCAGAGTGGCTGCCTTGTTACCACATTAACACTAAGCACATGACACAGCACCGCATTTTCAATAAGGATTTACCCACACCAAGAGAAAACAGGAATCAGATTTGTTTTGGTTGGTCCAGACCCTCAGAAAGAACCCTTCTCTTGTTTGTTTTATTTGCCCAAAAACTGTCACATAGAACATTCACCTTGACCAGTCAACTTGCATATAGTCTTCTTTGGTGTGGCTCTGAGCTCTGCCTGTGTCTCAGCCCACTGGGTAGAACTTGGCTGATACCTGTTCTTTCCCTGCTCTCAGTGTCTCTGCAAGTGCTCAGTCAGGAGGTTCCTGAGCTCACTGTGGTCCGTGTCCACACAGTGAGGACCCCTGCACACACACGCAGGTGGACACACGCAGGTGGCTGCTCTTGTTTCCACTTGTGGCAGTGAGCCTGCAGACTCGGCTCCTTCTCCATGTGGGTCAGTTGGGAATTGGAACCTACACTTGAGAAGAAGGTCTAAGACAGGAAACTGCACACAATTTAAAAACCCAATTTATGGAGCTGGGGTTATAGTTCAGCAGCACAGTGCCTGCCTGGCAAGTGCAAGATTGTGAGTTTGATTCCCAGTACCAAAAATAAAATAAATAAATACAAACTCTGTTTATTAGTATCATCATTCTTGGACCCTCTTGTGGCTCAAACTGACTAATTCTTCATGAAATTGGTATAACTCAGTTGGGCTTGCAGACAGAATATAGCAGTTTCGTTGTTCAATATGTCAGCAACATTTAGTGACGTTTCAGCATTGGATGCTGATCATCTTAATATTAAACCCTACGTAAGTCGAGTCATTGAAGAGTGCTTAATTCCCCTGGCATTGCTGCTGCTTAGAGCATCTTCAGATTTGTGCACATCTCCAGAATGTGGTGAGGAACACTCTGGAAACTCCCACCTTCTGAAGGGTATCTAATGCTTTAACTCCTACCCCATCAGAAATTTATTGAGTCCTTGAGGTCATTTTTCTCTATACCTGCTGGAAGAATTTGGCCCAATTGATGCTCTTAGTTCACAGACATTTTTAAGCATTGGCTTGCTTGTTGCTGGTTATGGTGATACACACCTGTAATCCCAGCACTTCGGAGGCTGAGGCAGGAGGATTGCTGCGAGTTTGAGGCTAATAAGTAAGTTCAGTGTCAGCCTGAACTGCATAGTGAGACCCTGTCTCAAAAAAAGGAGAAAAAAAAAAATGGCTTTCATGCTCCCAAATGGGTTTTGGCTCTGGGAATAAGGCCTGGTATCTTGAGAGGTTGGACCCAAGAGGAGCAGCCTTCCCTGTGGTTCCTTAGAAACCTGGTGGGGTGAGACCTGGCCACTGAATGGGTTGGTGGCATCATTCTTGTTCTCTGCTGGCACTTTCCTAGGGAGGAGGGGGAAGTGGATGTTTATAAATGTGTTTGTTGTGTTTATTTCTTCTGTGTCTCTTGATTTTCCCATTGAATATTTATTTTGCTTGTCTGTAGACTATTAAAAATGCCTGGCCCTTCCTTTTAATCACTTTATTCTACATTGCTTACGACATGTTATTCCTTTGCTTGCTTCTTTCTTTCAGTCTTTCTCTTCTATAACTTTCCTTTAATGGACTCTGAGAGACCTGGCCTTAATATGAGTAGAGCTGACCACACCGTATAACTTCCTGCCTGGTTTAGGAACTGTGAAACTGTAGGCCAGACCTTTGTGCATCTTTTTCACATTGTATTGGCAAACAGTTCTTTTTATCTGCTGGTGACTTTGATAATTTCAAATCAACCTGCAGGTATTTGTTTCCTAGATATAAAAGTATATCTGTATTTTCTGTAAGGAAAGAAAACCTTTGCAAGATTATCAGGGGGACCTCAGTATAATTGTTCATGTGGGTATGGTTATATCCAGGCAGCCGTCATTTCATAATCTCTTCTGGGTCTTTTTTCTCCCTTTGCTTTGCTAACTCCTGCTTAGAGGTTGATTTCAGCAGCTCATGATTTTATTTTACATTTAGATGCGTAAGAAGGGTTCCGTCCGAGGCACTTCGGCTGCTGATGCCTAGATGAGTCCCCTCTAGGGTCAGAGACAATATCAAACTGTGTAAGTGAATACCTCGGTAAAAAGAATGTTTAAAAACCTGTACCTTTTTGGTGATGGGAAGTTAACTTGCTGAGCACAGAGGGTGTAAGTGTTAAACAAGGTCTTTAGAATGTAAAAGAGATATTTTAGAAATTGATAATCAATATTTGAGTTCTTCCGTGACAGTTGTTTCTATGGAACAGGTTAAATGTAGCAGTCCCTGGCCAGTTCATGGTGTTAACAGGCAACAAATTGGCCACCTGTGGACTTGTTCATCATGTAGCATTGTCCTGGAAGCTGGCTTTTTTGTTAGTTGACTAACTTGTTTCTTAGTAAAGCCAGGATATAGTAAGGATATATGTAAAAGCATTTTAAAATCAAACAGATCATTCACTCCTAAGAGCCAACCTCAGGCATTGACTTGGTGAACTTTTGTCTGTGCACCACAAAGTCTTCATGTTTAAACTTTATTTAATTTGCAGTTAGTTTTTACTTTGCTTTTAACTTAGTGTATAAGACATTTCACCTACATGCCCAATTAACAGACTTCTGTAGATGGGAAAAAGAGTGTCAAAATGTACCCCACCTACTGAAACCAGTGTGGGTAAGCAGAAGTATCCATTACACAGCCATAACTTGTAAATACTGAATTACGATGTTCATTAAGAGAAAGGACAGTGTGTGTGTAGCTCTTCATTGTGATTCTTTTCTGTTCCATTGTGTTTCTTTGCTGCCCTATTCCGTGAGCTACCTGCTCTTTAATGGTTGAATGTGAGATAAACATGTTGAGTTAGCGGCAAATAAGAACAGACTGACTTCCAAGATTTCTGGAAAGCTTACTCTTTAAACTCAGTGTTCATTTAAAATTTTTTTATTATTGTTTTTATTAAGTTCTAAGTTTTTATGATTTATTTCTGCTTATGATTTATTTTCACCCTGATAAAAGAAAATGTTATACTAGTAGACCAAAGAGACTAAAAATGTGAAGGTACCGTAATTGGGATACATTTTCTGCCAAAAGTTCTGCCACATCAAGAGCTTTTGCCTGGAGAGTGTATGACAAGCTGCTGTCTAGCGTTTTCTTTCTCTGTATTTTAACACATTTTGTACTTTTGACTTTTTTTTTACAGTTACGTAATCAAGGTCAAGTGAGGGGAACAAGCGCAGCCAGTGACGAGTGAAGAAGAATCTGACCAGAATCTTGCAGTGTTGACGTTTCCGACGTGTGCTTGTGATGACATACACACACACACACAGGTTCCCAGCCACATGTGTATATGTGTGTGTATGTTTGTGGCTGTATATAGAGGCATGTAGAGCTACAGACCCAGGTGCACACGTGTGTATATATGTACATACAGACATACTGAGGGATTAGTACAATTTCTCCAAAGTACTGTACCTATCGTGAGCAAGAATGCAGAAGAAAATATTTTCAATATATATACCTGGAACAGATTTTAATAATTATCAGAGTAATCCCATTAATGGACAAATTGATTGCAATGTGATACTAGCTGGTATGTTTCATAAATGTCTTGTGGACCAATATATATATATATATATATAAAACATTTTGTTATTCTTCTGTTCTTTTAAATCAGTCTCTTACAAATTTTTATTTTAGTCATATAAGCAACAGACTCCCACAGAAAGATTTCTTCAAAATCTTTTGGTATTCCATTGAATCTGGAATGTAAACTCAATGTATTTATAGCTATTTATTTCTGGATGGTCATTATCTTCCAGCCAAATTTGACAATATCTGTTAAGAGTAAAGTTATAGACTAGTTTTTACTACTTTGCTCTGAGAGAAAAATCCTTTTAGAAGAATTTTCTGATTTTTATTGGATTTTTGTATTTTAAATTTCAAGTATTTTTCTATACCAAATCTAGCAAAGATGGAGAAGACAGTTTGTGATTTGTAATAAGCACTAGAAAATTTCCAGGCTTTTGTTAGACAAAAAAATAATTTAACAAAGATGTTAATCTTATGGGTATTATAGGCCATGTGGGAAAATTGGAAGAATAGCATTTCAGAAATGACTGTTTTCTACAGTTGTAGCATAAAAACTATGCAAATGGTCTAGATTCCTAGTAGCTTTTATAGGAGGATATAGTGATGACATTTCATTCTCTTCATGTAGCCATAGACTTCGGGGCGAGATGCTGACTCTCAGCTAGGACTAGTATGAGACGCAGCACAGGATTTGGCTGCATACTGTTAGAGGCCAGTGGCCTTCTGATTCTGTGTGTGCTCTTTAGTAGGATATCAAGGAACACATCCTGCAGAGGTGTCATGAAAATGCTTGTTAGAAGTTGCTGCCACCTTTTTTTTTTTTAAAGAAAGAACAGTGGCTGGGTACGGTTTTATACCACCTTTCTCTGTCTGTAATTTTTTCCTGTCAGTCTCGGGAGCTTGAGTAGAATGATATTGTTGAAGCCTTCAGGTCACAAACTGTCTTCTTTAACTTTCCGGCCTTTCTAAAACATGCCAAACCCTGCAGTCCAATCACATTAGTAATCTGATTTGCTGACAGCCCTGCCTTCCTTGCTCCCTCATTTTCCCACATGTCCTGTGTCCCCCCTGGAGTGATGGCAGCGAGTGGGACAGTGGTGTTTACAGTCACTGCTGCATTGTGGTATGCTGTTGTCTTCACAACAAATTCCACATTTCCTGTGTCCTTGGTGTACTCAGGATAAGGACTGATGTTTACTCTCTGGGCACTGTGGTAAGATAGGTTTTATCAAAGCATTGTTGTTTTGCAAAGTGGTTCAAGGAAGATCATTGCTAATTTTGTGGATTAGAGTCTAGCCCTCTCCCTTTAATGAACCTAAGTCTCACTGGCATCTGTAGTCTCACGGGGAGCTTGGGCACACATGAAAATGAGAGCCCAGCACATGGATTTTAATGTTTTTCTAACAACTGTGGAGATTTGAGGGGACGTGTGGTGAATGTAAAATACCTAGTTGACTTGGCAGTCTCTCATGTAAATTACAGTAAAACAGTAAATGAAATTTAAACAAAAATAAATTTGATCACAAAATGCCATTTGTGTACTTGAGTGGTTGTTTCTCTGGTGTCACATCTGGCTCAGAACACCGTGGACCACTTCTCTGCTACATTTTCAAGGCTTCTCTTTAATTTGTGGCACTCTCACCCTGGGGAAAGTAAAGTTGTTATTTTTGGGTTTTTTTTTGTTTGTTTGTTTGCTTTTTTAATTATAAACTTAATCTTGAACTGTAGCCATGCTACCCTTAAGTTATGTTTGGTTTTGTAAATAATTTTGTCGTTAAAAGCCAAGTGGTGAGTTAAAGAGTGTATATATCATTAGTGTCAGGTTTTTAAACATTATTTTAAAGGGAGAAATAAGGAAAATCTATAATATTCTTAAAAGTATTCCAAGGTTTTACTTGTAGATTCTGTTCTTTTTCAAGACTTTGGCTTTGGTTTGGGATTAATTTTTCCTCACCTCTTCAAAATATTATCATTTCTATTCTGTTATTTCGCAGATGTAAGTCATAGTCTTACAGTTTCAGCATGCATTTTAGAGCTACTCAGTGTTAGAAAAGATGGCCAGCTGTGTGAATGGATTCAGTGTACCGTGTATTTCCAGGGTGCTTGGGGTTTGTTTTTTGAGGTAAGCATCTTGTATTCTGTTTCAGACATGCTGTTTACATTTGTGGTGGCAGTCATTAATGTCCTTAGCAGCCTGAGCATTTTATACTTGCACTTGGGTCTTGCTGGAGGATGTAGGAAGAGTGAAAACAGTGATAGAGTCCAGTGGAGGAGGTAAACTTGTGAGCAGATAAACTTCAAAACTGTATGTTCCTCACAGTTAAGAGTGGAGAGTTGATTGAAATTGAGTGAACATTAAGACACCCTCCTCGTACAGAGAAATACAAAATCTCAGCCCATCGGCTCTTGGACCAGTGCTGGTCCGCATCCCCAGGGTACGCCTGCCGCCTCCCTGAGTCGTGTGCTGCTTAAAACTGTAATGCCCTGTGGTGAGACTGTCCGACACTGTATTACTCTTAACAAGTTTTAGGCCTCGGTGTTTTATTCATTTGGCAATCTACCTCCTAATCAATCTAAGATCCTTGGCCTTTCTGTTGCCTTTCAACTTGTTAAATTTTTAAAGTTTTACAGCTTTCCCTCCTCCAAAAATCCTGTGGCAGAGTAAGCGAAAGGCATGTGCTCACATTCGCTTTGTCTGTCTCCTCTTAGCACTCAGCCAGTCCCAAGGGCACAGTGTGGGATTCCCTGTGACTGCCCATTTGGAAGGAGAGTGCTCTTTGTCTTAGCCTTAGATCTGATCTCATTAGAGTAACAGAATGTTTGAGATGGAGCCTCAGTGGCTCCAGATGGGCTCTTCTAGGTCTGGCTTACTGGACATTTTTGAGTATAGGACTTGGCATGATTGTGAGGGAGGGAGAGTGCCAGAACTCAGGTTTAGATGCTCTGCTGGGCTTGGAGTGACTACTGTCAACAGGGAGTGGTTCCCAGAATCCTGCCAGTGACCCTGGCATTATGTTTCTGACCTAGGAATAATAGTAAGCAGCTGCAGTGGGTTCCTGCAGAGCTAGTTCTCCGGCTGACTTCACTGGGTAGAGAGGTTGCAGCAGTCCTTCAGAAGTCAGAGCCAGGCGGAGGGAGAGCAGTGCATGCCAGCCTGATACCAGCCCTGTGGCTGCTCCTCCCTGGCTGCCGTTTGATGCCCCTGTGCTGGATGTTCATCTGGTTCCCCTTCCCTGTTTCTTAAGACAGCTCGTGCCTCCCTGGAAGGGGTCGGAATCTTGTCTGGGGAGCTGCTGCTGCATGACTTCCTCATTCACACTGTTCCCTTCCACCAAGTTAAATTGTGAGTTAAAATGTGGCCCCTCGGTGAAAAAAGAGTGTCCTCATTTCAGTCAGGCTCTCGTGATGGACAGCTGGGTCTTTGGGATTCCATGTCTTGAGTGATAGTTCTGTTGTGAAGCCGAAGTGTAAAATTCAGCCTGGGGAAACCAGTGGTTCTCTGTCCTGGCTCTGCCTTGAAGTCTTGTGGGGAGCCTTTAAGACACTTGGCCCCCAGTTATCTTTCTGTAACTTGAGATCAGTATATCCCCTTTTCAATGGATAAGGAAAGGGGTTGGGATTCCTGTTCTCTTTCAGAACATTGTTGAGATGGCCACATTCTCTCCAGGTAATCAGATCTATGTCTGTGCTCTGGAGCCCACGCCAAATGCCGCTTTCTGCATGGTTGAATGCCTTAACTTGGAATGATTAGCTCTGTAGATTTCTGCATCCCTCATTTGATTCTTTCAGGCTTGACACTTTGGTTGATAGATGTCATCTTTGAATCTCTAATATGTTCTGTCCCATATGAGCTTGAACACTCTTCAGGGAAGTATCATAGTTGTACCCCAAAGTCACAGTCCTAATAAAAGCTTAGACTCTGAACCTGTGTCTTCTGGTCCACATGTCTGCCTATCCTGTACCAAAAGACCAAGGTTCCTTTTGAGTTCTGGAGTTTGAGCAAGAGGGTCAGTAAGGTCCCATTGCTGCCCTCAGGATTAAAGCTGCAGACTGCCTGGAGCTGGATGGAATTCCGGTAGCCAAAGGTAAAGATGCGATAAGAGAACGGAGAGGGAGCTCCACGCCCACGGTGTCTTCCTCACTTTGTAGACACCTGAATTGGAAGTTTCAGAGACCTTCCAAATGGAGAAGCCTTAAACTCCTTTTGGTCTTTTGTCCTTCAGAATGCACTGTCCTCCCACCAGTAACCACATCATTGGCTCCCACTTGGTGCTTGAGTCTTGAAAGTGTCCCTAGTGAAATCCCTGCCCCCTTGTATGTGCTGGCCTGGGCTACACTCTGACCATCCTCCTGTCTCACACACAGCTCCACAATCTCCCTATAAAAGGCTATGCAGTAAATATTTCTGGTTTGGGCAGCCCTATTGTTTTAGAGCTCTTCAGTTATTCCCTTGTAATGCAAAAACGGCCTGAAGGCAGTAAATTAGAAAGAAGTGTGTCATTTCCAATAAAACTGGAAGTAGACAGTGGGCTGGCTTTGACTGGTGAGTTCATATGTAAATTGTCAATCCCTTACATGGGTCATTGCTTGTATAGCGTTAGCCAGGTTCTGGCATAGTTAACTTTGGGTAACACCCCTGATGGTGCTGGGGTCTGCTCAGATATCTGCATGGCTTCCTGAGTCGCTAGTGGCACTGGTCTTGGAGTGCAGCAGCCAAAGGCAGTGACTGCTGCAAGCCTCATCCTGCCATTAGTGTGACAGAGCCAGTGATGCTTATCTGCCTCCTGGCCTTATGTGTGGTGTTTGCAGGTAACAAAAATCCCCGCTGGTTTCTCTGATACCCTGTCCATGTTGTCCATCTAAGGAAAGGCTTTAAACATCTGATTTCCAACGGGCACGTTGAGTGTTGAAAGGTAGAACTAGGACATGCTGCTGGGAGCTGTTAACAAGAAATATAATGAAGATATAATGCTGGTTAAACTCTTCTCATTTGGCATATTATCTCTGTCTGTTGTCCAGAAAATACCATCTGTGGCTGTTAAACGAAATGCTCTATTGATGCAAAGGTTCGTAGGTGTGCTGTACCTTTTTGTATAATTTAGGTTTAGCTCTTTAGATGCCACTGCTGATTTATTAACCTGGAATTGGCATCATGGCTCCTGATGTGGCCTTGGAAGGCCAAGCCTTTGCCTAGAAAATTGGCCCAGTTTCCCTGAGTCAGTGCTACTCAACCTCGAGTTGAATCTGCTTATTCCTTGGGTTTTTGAGGAGCAGTAAAGCACTGTGACGTGCCTCTGCCTTGTTGATCCTTTATATATTCTGACACCACCTGCTCAATCAGTTGATAGCAGATTTGCCTTGGACTCCAGACAGGGAGGTTCATGAAGTGGAACGAGGAGTGGCTTACAGTGTGTATTAATGTATGTGCTGAACAAAAGCTTTGCCTCTGGGCATCCCATTGCGGGCTGGCTCCTCGCAGCCCAGAACACTGAGAGCTGTTCTCAGCACCACCCGTCCTTTCCCACGGCCTGTGGAGCCTTGAACTGCTGCTCAGCCTGCCAAGTGCCGTCACACCCGTGTCCTTTCAGGAGAGGACCAGCCCCAGGAAGCAACACCAGCTATTCCATTTCTTCAGTCGTCAGGCCTTCCTGCCAAGGATTAGATGGTAAGTGATTTGGGCTTGTGGGCCATAGTGTCTGTGTTGCAGCTCCTTAGCTCTGGTTCTGCAGGATGGAAAGTAACATTATTTATGACATCAGTCAGTTGGCATGGCTGTCAGTAAACTTCAAAGAGGAAGCAGGCTGAATTGGCCTAGCAGCCATAGTTTGCCCGTCCCTTTTCAGCATCTTTCCACAGTTTTGTCAGATTGCAAAAACAATACTAATACCCACCAACACATAATAGTACCTGCTGTGTATCAGGCATTCTTCTAAGCGTAGCTCATAACCAGCCTTGTAGAATCTTCACCACACCCATGTGGTTGGTGCTGTTCCGCCATTTGAAGAGACCAAGGCCCGGCTTAGTGTAGTTTGCCCCAGTTACACACTGAGAGTGGTGGAGCCAGGGCTGTTACCCAGGGGTACCCCAGAGTCACTCAGAACTCCTGCTCTTCCAGCTCCCATCTCACAACTGCGGGCACTGCATGTCTGAGGCATTGACTAAGCGCGGTGTGAGCAACCCTCATAAATTGAGACTCTGTGTTCTTACACACCGGGAACAAGCAAACATCCATGACTGATTCTGCCCGGAGTTGAGAGCCAGGAAATACTACTCCTTAGACTGCGTGAATGCTCCCTCAGTCGCAGTGTCTGGGAGCTCCCAGGCTGGATTCTCCTCAGCAGAGGCCACCTCTTTAGGCTGGGCTATGATTTGGTATTGGTACCATGAGACATGAGGGGTTCTGGTTCTCCCAGACCCGAGCGCTCTGTTTTGAGTGCCCTGGAAGTACTCGTTGGAAGGGCTCCATGGAAATTCTAAAATACATTTGGCAAAGTGGACAGAGGCTGCGGCCTGGAGGAGGAAAAACAAGCCGT